GCTTGAGATAACTCATTCATTTCTCTGTTACTTTCATTTTTTTTTTTAAAAAAAGTCATTTCTATGAATTCCCCAAAACGGGATGTTTTTCTCATATTTTTTTGGAGAAGTGTTGTGGCCCGTCAGCGGCCTGTGCGGATTGTAGCTGATTCCGACAGCGAGGAGGCTGGTGTGGTGCTGCGCCAGCAGCCTGTGCAGCTGGCACTCGAGTCGGACAGTGAGGAGGCTGGAGAAGATGTGGGGCCAGAGGCGGGGATTCAGCCAGGGCCTTCAGAACCTCCAGAAGCTCCCATAAGTGAAGAGGACAAAGAGGAGGAGCATCTTCTTGATGCACGGGCACACAGAGTGGCCAAAAGGCAGGAGTGGCTCCTCAGGAGGAGGTCTCCTCGAGAGTAAGGCTTGGGGATAATTGGCCACTCCCTTAGCCTATTTAAGGAGGAACGCCGACTGAAGCAATTTGCAGGGAACAACTTTAGTTCATTCTCCTGCAAATTGCTTCTGAGCTTTCTGCCAACCTTAGTAAGATTGTGATTACTTTATCTTTGGTTTCTTGTAGGCTGTTAAGAAAGTTTATTAACAGCCTTTGTTTGGAAAAGACTGAGTTATTTTAGTAAATTAAGTTTTGTATAGACTTTGTGTGTGCTGTGTTCTTTGGGGTCTGTAGCTGGGGCAGAACAAGAAGAGGCACTGTAGCAGGAGTCAGTTTTCCTAGCAGGCAGACCAATATTGGATGATGATCTTTCTTCTAAGCCTAATCATGAACATACAGTAAAACTATTTTATTTAAAAAAAAAAGTGAGGGAGTCTTAGCTAGACTGATAATCAGGGGAAGCTTGTAGCTCTCTTAAGTTCTAACTAGGGAAGACATAGATTGGGACTGAAAAACAGAAAGGCTGGGGCATCTCTTTTCCTTTTTTTTTAAAAAAATACTTTTTATTGAAGTTTAAAATTACAAAGATAAACTAATACAAACCAAGAAAAATGTAAAAAAGAAAATATAGTGCAAAAAGGTGAAAAGGGGGGAGAGGGGGATGGATGGGTGGATGGATGGATGGATGGATAAAAAACCAAGAAAAACCAAGAAAAACATAAATAAGAAAATATAGTGCAAAAAGGAGAAAGGGGCAAGAGATAGATAGATAGATAGATAGATAGATAGATAGATAGATAGATAGATAGATAGATAGATAGATAGATAGATAGATAGATAGATATAGGCAGGCAGGCATACATGGATGGATAGATGGATGATGGATGGATGGATGGATGGATGGATGGATAAAAAACCAATACAAACCAAGAAAAACATAAATAAGAAAATATAGTGCAAAAAGGAGAAAAGGGGCAAGAGAGAGATAGATAGATAGATAGATAGATAGATAGATAGATAGATAGATAGATAGATAGATAGACAAGACAGACAGACAGACAGACAGACATAGGCAGGCATGGATGGATGGATGGATGGATGGATGGATAAAAAAACATACAAACCAAGAAAAACATAAATAAGAAAATATAGTGCAAAAAGGAGAAAAGGGTCAGAAGGGGAATGGATGGATGGATGGATGGATAGATAGATAGAGATAGGGATAGATAGATAGATAGATAGATAGATAGATAGATAGATAGATAGATAGATAGATAGATAGATAGATAGATAGATAGATCTTCCCTCTTCATCAAGAATAAGCCTAAACATTTTTTCTTTTTTCTTTTCCTTTTTGATATATGTTGTTCTGGGTAACCTCTGCCCCCTCCGTATGACAGCACAACAGGCGTTTGGGTGTGGGTGTGTGTGTATATATGTGAAGAGTTTTTAGACTCTCACACTGGATTTCTGTATTTTTTGAATTTGCAAAATAGCTGGAGTTTATTTCTATTGAATTTTTCTTATAACCTTGGATTGAAGTATAGAGGAAAACATTTCTTCTCCGTTCTTTGTTCCCTGATCAAGTTTTAGATTAAAATGGCTGAGCAGCACCTGAAACCTAAGAAAGGAGGGAGGAGGGGGAATTTGCAGCTCCTAGCTGAATTTCTCTTCTAAAAAGCTTGATAAGATGACAGTGATTTTGCAAGAATACAATAAGTCTAAACATTTCCAATAGTTTAAACAAGTACCGTCAATCAATTTCATAATTCTTTTCTTTTACACCTTATTGTAATATTTTCATACACACACATACACATTTTTTCCTCCCATGTCTTATATCTATAAACAAATCTTTAAAACTTCAGCTGTCAAAGTAAATCGAGAAAAATTCCATTAAGAGCCACTCGAAAGAACAAATTGAAATTATTAATCTTTAATCCCTTCAAATAATACACCACAAATTAATTTCTGATCATCTTCTTTTCATCTCCCCTCAGTTGTAATATCATAGCTTATCATTTTCTCTAATGACAAAACTCTTTTTCCTATATCTTATCTATAAACAAGTCTCATTCACTCCTACTCAAAGAAATCCCATTAAAGCTGCTAGAAAAAAAGCGGCTGATATACAGTTTAACCTTGATCAAATAGGCCCACTTTGTAAACCTTAATTTTTGTTTTAAGGGTTTTAATTATTCCTTTTAGGTAATATCCTAAAAGCTGGCTTCTTTTTTCTTTTCTCCTGAATTCCTTCATAGGTATAACACATCTTCTTGTAAATCCAAAGTAAGGAAATTAGCCAAGTCATTTTTCTGAGTTAAAATCCACATATCCAAATCATTATTCTGGTTTATTATTTGCATCTCCTCTGCGAGTATGGAAATCTCAGCCAGTTTCATTTGTTGTGCTTTGTCAATATGTACGTAACCTGTTAGTTTTAATTAAATCCATATCGAAAACACCTTGATATTCAGTTATGCCCCTTCTCTCTCTTCTTTTAATCCATTTTTATTGTATCAGTCTAAAGAGTAACTTCTGAGTGCATTGTTGCCAAATATCCTTAACTTCTTCCAGAGTTAATATATTTTTTTTCTCCATTCTGTATTAGTGGGAGTTCTCATTTAATTATAATCTTTAATTCTTTCTGGTTGCCTCTAGTAACCCGCCTTCAAGATCTGTTCTTATCGTGTTTTGTTTCAAACAGAACATTTCCCAGGAAGAGATTACTGACTCTTAAGCTCAGATTTTCATATATTTTAATAAGATTTTAAAAACCACAACAACAGGAAATATACTTACAACTTTTTCAAAATCTTGTTTCCACTCAATCTGGCCCTTTAGTCCATTTAAACACTTTCCTTTCTAATCAATCTTTGACTGCTTCTTTCGAAGAAATTAAAAGTTTTTAAGTTTTCAAACTTACATAAATCTTCTTTCAGGGCAGGTTGAAAGAAAATCACCCAGTGTAATAAAACTTGTCTTTCTTGGAGGTCTTAATGGCCAAAAGGCAATTTATAGGCCATTTCCAATAAAAGTAGTTAAAAGGTGAGATAGGTGAAGCTAGCACGCTTATGAAAAACTCCAACTGTGGCATAGCCAGGTATCTCCAAACTTGGCAACTTTCAGACTTGTGGACTTCAACTCCCAGAATTCCCCAGCCAGCATTGCTGGCTAAGGAATTCTGGGAGTTGAAGTTCATAAATCTGAAAGTTGCCAAGTTTGGAGACCCCTTGCTTAGGTAAAGTTCCATTTTCAACCCCAAATGTCTGCTCCGCTAAAACCTAAACCATCTTAATCCATCATTTTTCTCCAGATGTTTCCCTGAGGTATTGCTTTTTCCATACATTGATGAGTTCACACGTTGCACCATGCCTTGTTTTTTTGGGGCAGGCATTTGCAAGCTCAGCTGGTGAGGCTCATACAAATCACAGCTCACAGTTATAGACCATAGGTTGGGTTAACTCGGGATGCTGAAGCCAAACCGAACCAAACTATGATTTTGGCTTCCTGCGTTGTGTGTGAATCCAGTTGGTTTGGTTCCCAATCGTTTCTTTTTTGAGAAATCCTTTCCTTAGCTGGGTAATTTTGGAATGAGTATCCATAAGGTGAAACATCAGCCAAGGCAACAGCTCACTCACAAGGCCTGATAAACATTTGTGTCCATATTTTTCATTTTTAAAATAGAATAACGGAGTTGGAAGGGACCTTGGAGGTCTTCTAGTCCAATCCCTTGCTTAGCAGAAGAAGCAGAAGACTAAATAATATAGGTATTATTTCAGACAAGTGTCTGTCCAGTCTCTTCTTAAAAGCCTCCAGTAATGGGACACCCACAACTTCGGAAGGCAAGGCATTCTGCTGATTAATTGTTTTCACCTTCTCCTTAGTTCTAGGTTGGTTCTCTCCTTGATTAGTTTCCATCCATTGTTTCTTGTCTTGCCTTCTGGTGCTTTGGAAAATAAGTTGACCCAGGGGTGAAATCCAGCAGGTTCTGACAGATTCTGGAGAACCTGTAGCGGAAATTTTGAGTAGTTCAGAGACCCGGCAAATACCACCTCTGGCTGGTCCCAGAGTGGGGTGGGAATGGAGATTTTGCAATATCCTTCCCCTGCCATGCTCACCAAGCCACGCCCACAGAACCGGTAGGGAAAAATTTTGGATTTCACCCCTGGATTGACCCCCTCGTCTTTTTGTGGCAGCCCCTCCAAAATTGGAACATTCTCTTACAAATCTTTATTTTTCCTGATGCGAGTAGCATATTTTTCTTAGCTGTTTCCAGCCTTCACTAGTATTTGAGTCTCCATCTTCCCTTAAAGTGGTAATTGCTAAGCACTAATGCTGATTCATAAGGAAGAAGCTCAGTTGTTTAGATTTTAGTGTGACTTGTCACTAATACAACAAATGCCTAGAATGTATAACGAGTCTTCGTGTTAAATAGGATTGGCTTGCTTCGTAATTTAATTGACCACCCTGTAATAAATACAATCCGAAGACTCTCGGCCGTATAAAATCATTTGTGGTGAGAATCTCCTGGAATGTCTTTGCTGTGAGTTTATTCAATACATACTCATTAAAGCCCAGAATAACCCTGTAAAGTGATTAATGTCTCTGCCATTCCCTACTCCAACAGAACTGCTTGTTGTGAAAAGGAAGAGAGGAAGGCCCAAAGGATCAACCAAGAAATGTTACGCTGAAGAGGAATCGGCTGAAAACACCACCTCTGCTCCAAGTGAAAGTGTTCAACCGGGACCCGAAGAAGGAGGAGGACTGGCGGATGTTCCCGCAGACAACTTGGAATGCCAGAAGTGCAACCGGAAGTTCTCTAATTCTCGACAGCTACGAAAGCACATCTGTATTCTCGTTAAGAATGAAGACTTGGAAGAAGAAGGGGATTCAGGTGAGCTGAAGTTGTGTTGCGGTGCCTGATTGAAAGATGAGTGAAAAGTAGACACGTAGAAAGCTGCCTTGTTGGGAGTTTTATTTCTTTATTAAGGGAATTTACCGATATATGGCTACCCAACTCAGTCACACTGACTCTGTGCGACTTACAGAAATAAATCCCCTGTACAAAAGTCTAATAAAGCCTCACTCCCCTGCCAACAAAATCAAGCCACCCACTTAATGGCTTTGTATGGGGTCTCCTTGGCTCAGTGGCAAAAACGTATCTTCAGAACCTTTTGAAAGAGTATCAAGGTGGTGTCTAATCCTATTTCTGCAGAGACGATGTTCCACAGAGAGGGAGCCACCACGGAGAAGGCCCTTCTTCTTGGTCCCACTAGATCAGGGATGTCAAATTCAATTTCATTGAGGGCCGCATCAGGGCTGTGGTTGACCTTGGAGGGGTGGGGGGATGACTGGGCTTGATCAACTGGGTGGGCATGGCCACTGATCTGTCCCCGTCCACACACACACACAAACACAGCCAGCCGAGGGTTAAGGAAGCACTTGGAACACACCCAGGTCTTTATCTCCAACTTGGCAGCGATATACACACCGTCTGCCAAGTGCTTTTATTTCCACAGAAAACAGAAAGATATACTCAGCGTACAAGAGTCCAACAGGATTATTCCTCTCAGCCGTTTCGGACGAGGCTTTAGTGACTATCCAAGGTTTACTTTTGTTCATCACAAGGATCACTGGCCACCACACTCTATTATATAGTCTCTGGGGTGTGGTCCAGTGACTCAGTTCTAATCCCTAGCACGCCTCCTGAGCTGCTGCAATCGTTTATCACGCCTTCGGAGGCGTGCGTCCAGGAATGATGTCTCTCCCTCGCTCTCATCCGAGACACCTGTCTCCCTGCTAATCTCCTCTCCCTCGGCCGGCACCTGAGACAGTGCCAGAGGGGAGGGGCCTGGAGAGGGAGGCCTGGCTGACTCCTCTTCCTCATGCTCGGAGCTTTCTTCCTCCGATGGGATAGGCTCAGAGGGCGGGGCCACAACAGCCACCTTGACACCACTCCCCAATTTGCTGGCATGTTTCCTCTTCACATTGGGTAGACTGGGCCGAAGCCATGCTAGCCTGATGTTTCCTCTTCGCATTGGGTAGACCGGGCTGAAGCGACATGGGCCAGCCCCTTACATTTTCCAGGACGGCCCCACGGGCCAGATCCGACCACATTGCAGGCCGCATCCAGCCGCAGGCCTTGTGTTTGACACCCCTGCACTAGATGGAATTTTTCAGGAGAGGAGACCCATAACATAGCCTCCCTCCCTATCCATTCTGGTGGGTCAGTTAGATATAACTGTGAAAATGTGAACTGTGGTTTGGAGCGGCTGGCCAGCTAATAAAGTTTTCCCTGTCAGCTGTGCCCAACTCTAGGGCACGTTGCTCATCTCTGTTTCTTGCCCGAGGGAGCCAGCATTGTCCGAAGACAATTTCCATGATCATGTGGCCAGTGTGACTCTTAAGCCCAAGCTCACAAAACGCTCTTAGCTTCCCTCTGAAGTGGTACCTATTAATCTACTCTCATTTGCATGCTTTCAAACTGCTAGGTTAGCATGCCAACTAATACTTTATGCTTTTTCATCAAGACCTTTTGGTGACTAACGACTAACTGAAAGTACTCATTAGTAACTAAAGTTTCACAGGCTTGATAGCTGTCAGAGCCCCCATTCTCTCTCTCTCTCTCTCTCTCTCTCTCTCTCTCTCTCTCTCTCTCGTGTGTGTGTGCTTATGTCACTTCTTTCCATTCCTTTATTTTTTTTGTTTCACACCATAAACTGGCCCACATTGACTCTTATCCCATTTCTTTTTCTGTTACCTGGAAGAGAAAATACATCATCGATAAACCAGCATTTCCTCCAGTGGTAGATTGCCAATATTCTTACCACTGGTTCGCTGTGCGCGCACACGCTCGCTTCACATGCGCGCCATCTGCACATGCGCCCGGGCTTTTGTGCATGCGCTTTGCTCACGCGTGTGCCTTCCACATTTGCGCCTGGCCTCAAAAACGTCCCTGAATAGGACGGCATAGAGCCGGGGCAAGTGGGCGGGGCGGTCCCACCCGCAATCTGCGCTACTGGTTCACTCGAACTGGTACGAACCGGCCGAATACCACCTCTGATTGCTCTCTGAGTTTTGGATCAAATATAGCACTCTGATCTGGGTTGATTTCTACAAGAGGCTTTGGAGCATGTCTGTGCATTGATGTAATGCAAGTCTCCAGCTGTTTACAGCTGCTTTTTTGCCCAGGATCACACGGCAGCACAAAGGCAGACATGTGTTCTGTCCCTACCCCTGCCTGCTCTTACCACTTTTGGGAAATTAGATCCAAAGCCCTGCACAGCCTTAGCATATGCAGGTAGTCCTCAACTTACAACCACAATTGAGCCCGAAATTTCCGTTGTTAAGTGAGACATTTGTTAAGTGAGTTTTGCCTGATAATAGAATAGAATAGAATAGAATAGAATAGAATAGAATAGAATAGAATAGAATAGAATAGAATAGAATAGAATAGAGTTTTTTATTGGCCAAGTGTGATTGGACACACAAGGAATTTGTCTTGGTGCATATGCTCTCAGTGTACATAAAAGAATCATAAGGTACAACACTTAATGATAGTCATAGGGTACAAATAAGCAATCAGGAAACAATATCAATATAAATCGTAAGGATACAAGCAACAAAATTACAGTCATACAGTTGTAAGTGGGAGGAGATGGGTGATAGGAACGATGAGAAGATTAATAGTAGTGCAGACTTAGTAAATAATTTGACAGTGTTGAGAGAATTATTTGTTTAGCAGAGTGATGGTGTTTGGAAAAAACTGTTCTTGTGTCTAGTTGTTCTGGTGTGCAGTGCCCTAGAGCATTATTTTGAGAGTAGGAGTTAAAGCAGTTTATGTCCAGGATGTGAGGGGTCTGTAAATATTTTCACAGCCCTCTTTTTGACTCCTGCAGTATACAGGTCCTCAATGGAAGGCAGGTTGGTAGCCATAGTTTTTTCTGCAGTTCTACTTATCCTCTGAAGTCTGTGTCTGTCTTGGTGGGTTGCAGAGCCAAACCAGATAGTTATAGAGGTGCAGATTACAGACTCAATAATTCCTCTGTAGAATTGAATCATCAGCTCCTTGGGTAGCTTGAGCTTCCTGAGTTGGCGCAGAAAGAACATTCTTTGTTGTGCTGTTTTGATGACATTTTTGATGTTAGCTGTCCATTTTAGAACTTGCGATATTAGATAAAGATATTTTATGACGTTTCTTGCCTGCCACAGTTGTTGAGTGAAAACACTGCAGTTGATGAATTAGTAACCCTGTTGTTAAGTGAATCTATATTGCCCTTTAACTTTGCTCCTCAGAAGGTCGTAAAAGGTGATCGCATGACCTTGGGACACAGCAACATAAGTATGAACCAGTTGCCAAGCATCTGAATTTTGATCACATGATCATGGGGATGCTGGAAAGATCACAGCTGTGAAAAACGGTCGTAAGTTACTTTTTTCCGGGTCGTCGTAAATTTGAATGGTCACTAAATGAACTGTTGCAAGTTGAGGACTACCTATATCAGGTCGCCTGGCTTTTTCATTTAGAGGCTGTGCCCCTTGTCGCATCTGAATGCTTCCTAGGAGTAACACGTATAAAGCTTTACCTCTAATCGGGTTTAGTGCCTTTGTTTTAAAAATAAATACTCTGTGCATTACTACCTGTGTTTTCCCGAAAATAAGACCCTGTCTTATATTTTTTTGATCCCTGAAATAAGAACTTGGCCTTATTTTCAGGGAGGTCTTATTATTTTGGGGCGCGTGGAGCAAGATGGGACTCCTTTTGCCGTTTTACCTGATTTTTAGCTCTGCGTTTAAATATTTTCAGGGAGGGCTTATTTTCAGGGGGAGGCTTATTTTAGCACATGTGCTCAAAAGCCCGATTGGGCTGTTTCCCCTAAAATGTCTTATTTTCGGGGAAACAGGGTAGGTGTATCTCGTCCTAAGTGCTTATTAAAAACACAAAAAAGTCTGAAGTAGTGATTGGGTGGGGAAGCTTTGTTGTTGTGTTGTGTTGTTTTGTTTTTGTGTTCGTTTGTGGTTTTCTTTTGTTTCAAACAAAGACTGTTAGCATGTTTTTCCAGCCAAAATAAGTTTCTACTTTGTTAAGAGGGCCTGGTGACTCAGCAGACTGATAGCATTGTGATTAACACCAGCTATCTGCAATTACTGTAAGTTCGAATCTCGCCAGGCTCAAGGTTGACTCAGCCTTCCATCCTTTCTAAGGTAGGTAAATTGAGGACCCAGTTTGTGGGGGCAATAAGCTGACTTTGTATAAATATACAAAAGGATGAAGGCTATTGCTTAACACATTGTAAGCCGCCCTGAGTCTCTGGAGAAGGGCGGCATATAAATTAAATTTAAAAAATAAATAAATCAGCATCTCTATTCACTAGTAAAACGAAGGGGGAAACTGCTCCTCTGACCAAAGCAAACACATGATTCCATGTAGGGTGGGAAATATTCTTCTCCTTCTTCTTCTTCTTCTTCTTCTTCTTCTTCTTCTTCTTCTTCTTCTTCTTCTTCTTCTTCTTCTTCTTCTTCTTCTTCTTCTCTTCTTTCTTCTTCTTCTTCTTCTCTTCTTCTTCTTCTTCTTCTCTTCTTCTTTTTCTTCTTCTTCTTCTTCTTCTTCTTCTTCTTCTTCTTCTTCTCCTTCTCCTTCTCCTTCTCCTTCTCCTTCTCCTTCTCCTTCTCCTTCTCCTTCTCCTTCTTCTCTCCAACCAAACATCCAAAAATGTTTTGGCAAGGAGGCTGGAGGTTGGAAAGAACTGATGTTAAGGGACTCTGGACTCTGTCCATCAGTGGAGATAAGCCTCCCAACAGCTGAACAGAACTGGATCGAATTCGGTGTGTGTGGGAAGGTGGGGAAGCTGACAAAACGAAGCGTGAAACTGGGCCAGTTCTAGCTAGTAATTG